GCCCGCCCGCCCGCACCCCCGGGGCTGCGGAGGCTCCGGCCGCTGCTGCTCCCGCAGGGCTTGGAGCCGCCACCGGTGTCCCCGGCCCCGCCGTGGCTGGTGGCACCTGTGGCCAGCGGAGCCACCAGCACCAGCGCGACGAGACCCAGCGGCAAGCGCGGGCTCCCGCCATGCCTCCCTGCTGGCCAGACGTTGCCCAAATGTCGCCCGTATGTCACCCAAATGTGTCCAAAACGTGTTCCAAGCATCACTCAAAACTTGCCCTAACGTCACCCAAATGCCCCCAAACGTTGCCCAAACACGTCTCAAACATCACCCAAATCTTGCTCAAATGTCACCCAAACGTATCCCAAAACGTATCCCAAACATCACCCAAGCGTCATCCAAACATCTCCCGAATGTGCCCTAAATGTCTTCCAAATATCACTCCAAAGTTGCCCAAGTCACCCAAATGTCACTCAAACGTGTCCCAAACTCTCCCAAATGTCACCCAAACGTCTTCCAGACATCACCCACAGGTGTCYGAAATGTGTCCCACACATCGCTCCAAAGTTGCCCAAATGCATCCCAAATGTTGCTCCAGACTTCCCAAGTGTGTCCCAAACGTGTCCCAAACATGGCTCCAAGACGTCCCAAATGTTCCCCAAACTGCCCAGCCCTGTGCCCGCCACCCCGTGTCCCCCATGTCCCCGTGTCCTCCATGTCCCCGTGTCCCCCATGTCCCCGTGTCCCCCATGTCCGCCATGTCCCCATGTCCCGTGTCCGGCGCCGGCCCGTCCGGGCGGCCCCGAGCCCCGCGGGGAGGAGGCGGCGCCGGTGGCCCGTGGGGCGCGTGACGGCCGGGGGGAGCGCGGGGGCCCCGTGCCCGCRGGGAGGGACTATGCAAACGAGCGCCCCTTCTTATGGGGGCCGGGGCGCCCGCGCTGCGCCCAGCCGAGCGGAGCAGCCGAGATGCGGGCGCCGCGGGCCCTGCCGCTGCTGGCCGCCCTGCTGGCCCTGGCCGCCGCTCAGCGCCGTGAGTGGGGACCCGCGGCGCGGACGGGGACACCGGGGAGCGCCCGGCTGCGCCCGGCCCGGCTGGGGACTCCGTGGCACCGGGGGATCGCAGTGGGCGGCTGGGGTGGTGGCTGTTGGGGGGTCCTGCTGGATGGGGACCCCCGGTGGGTGCCCTGCTGCCCCCCGGGGCTCGGGGGAGCTGGTGGGATCAGCGGGGCCGGYGGCGGGAGCGGAGGGGGGCCAGGGGAGACCCCCGCAGGGCTGGGGGACACGGGGGGCGGGATGGGCCCCTGCTGGTCCCCAGGGGGACGGGTCCCCACGGGGTGCAGGTGGGTGCAAGCGCCTGGACCTGCGAGCAGGGACCTCAGACCCTGCCAAGGGGGACAAGGGGGAACCCCAGGGCCAACCTGGGGACCTCGGACCCCATGAGCGGGGCTGAATGGGGACCCCAGCTCTGCAAGCGGGGACTCCTGGGTCAATGTGGGGACCTAGGACCCGTGAGCGGAGCTGAGCGGGGCCCCTGAGCTCCCCCCTTGGGTCCCATGAGCCGGGGGCGCAGGGGGAGCCCCCCCGCCCGGGGGCTGCCGGCGCCGCTCAGCTGAGAGTCACATGCAAGAGCTTGGGCAGCGGGGGCCACGTGACGCCCCGGCCCCCCCGGCGTCACGCGCTCCCGACCCCCCTGCGCCGCAGGAGCCGCCGGCCGGAGCCGGGCCGGGAGCCGGGCGCCCTTCCGGAGCTGGGACACGGGGCGCTACCGGCCCTGGCAGGAGGGGACCCCCCGGCAGCCCGACTGCTGGCGAGGTGGGTGTTCGATGGGGGGGACGCAGGGGGGATTTGGGGGTCCCGGTGCTGACGCCCTCTTCCCGCAGGCGGTGACGTGACCCTGGACGTGAGCAACGACGCGCCCACCATGGCGGGCGCCAAGGCCACCTTCTCCATCGCGCTGCGCTTCCCGGGCGGCCAGGCCGCGCTGCCCGACGGCCGCGTCGTCTGGAGCCGCAACGGCACCGTCAACGGTGCGGGAGCGCGGGGGGACGCGYGGGGACACGGGSACCGCAGGGAYGTGGCGGGACCGCAGGGACGCGGGGGACGCGGCGGCGCCGCCGCTCAGCTCCGCTCCCCGCAGGCACCCGCGTGGCCGCCGGCGAGCCCGTCTACCCGGAGCCGCCGGCCGAGGCCTCCGACTGCGTCTTCCCCGACGGGCAGCCCTTTCCCAACGGCACCGCCGGCAAGAGGGGCAAATTCGTCTATGTCTGGTGGACATGGGGTGAGGAGCCGGGGACGGCAACGGGGACGTGGGGATGAGGATGGAGACAGGAATGGGGCTGGGGATGGAAATACAGATGGGGACAGGAACGGGTTGGAGATATAGATGGGGATGGGGACAAGGATGGAGACAAGAATGGGGCTGGAGATGGAGATGGGAATGGGGATGGGGATGGGGACAGGAATAGGGACAGGGATGGGGATGGGGACGAGGATGGGGATAGGAACGGGGCCGGGGATAGAGATGGGGCCGGGGACGCCACGTGCGCTGGCGCTGCTGACGCCACTGGCCCCGCAGGGCGCTACTGGCAGGTGGTGGACGGGCCGGCGTCGCGGCTCACGGTGCCCACGGCCGGGGTGCCGCTCGGCTCCTACACCATGGACGTCGTCGTCTACCACTACCGCGGCCGCCAGAAGTTCGTCCCCATCGGCCGGGCCAGCAGCCAGTTCAGCATCAC